TGACGCTAAAAACAAGGCAGACTTTTCCGTGAAGCCCGCCCAGCCCTCAGCAATCACCCTGTTGTCGCAGCTGGTACGGAGGACCTCACAGCGGCCGCTCTGGGAGCTGTACGCCCACGGGAGCAACAGCATGCGCCCCAAGCCCACGGTCCCCCTTCTCGGCCCTGAGCTGTCCTCGCACTTCTTGGTGAAATAGTCCAGGGCTCATGGATTCCCCCACACTCGCCTCCGCACCGCTCCCGTTACGCTCATCTCCTGATTCCAAAAGAGCCTGGCTCAGAATGCATTCACTGGAAGATGGAAGGAGGATTTAAGTAATTTCCAACCCCCACGCATTCAGTAGAAGGGGCCTTCTGTTACCGAAAGAGAACGCCCGAGAAATCCCTGTTCCCCTAGGTCCACCTCCCCCGCCCCGCCCTATCTCCACCCCACCCCGCCCCCAACCCCACTGCGCCCCACCCCTCCTGCGCCCCCTCCCCCCAGCCCAGCGGGGACGCACTGCCGCCCTTAAGGCCTTTGGGACGGTCCAGAGAGACGGAAACCCCGGGTCCTAATGGAAAACTCTGGAAAAAAACTATTTACACGTGCATTAATTACTACCCGGGCCCACTCTCTCGTGCTCAGCAATTAATTTTTAATATTCGAAGAACACTTCTTATACATAAGAAGGTGTCTTTTCGTTCCAGGGGAATTTTAAATTACTATTATATCCCGCTTTCCCTGTCGCCCCCTTGGAATGACGTGCGGCACAGAGACGCTTCCGTGCGCGAGACACTGGGGTTGGCGCTCCGAGGAGGGGATGTTCACAGAGATAAATATTCTTAAACGGTGCTGGCTCTACGGCACGAGAACGTAACATTTACCGCGACGCCCTCGGAGAGGCTTAAACTCTGTCTCGCCCTTTATTTCGCACCGGTGTGCGTCCCAGTCGCAGCTCCCTTCCGATTTCCTGCGGACTCTGCGCGCGCGCCCAGCAGGGCGCGGGTCAGTCCGCGCATTCCCCGCGTCCTGAACCCCTGGCCTGGCCAGCACGGGGCCCAGGCCGGCCAGGCAGCAGCCCTGCGCTCCAGGCGCGGCGGCCGTTGGAGGAACAGCCCGGAAGGGGGCGCTCGCCAACGCGGGGCGCAAGATCTTGGGGAGCCAGCCTTTCCGGAGGAGACGCCCCAGGTGCCCTTGAAAGACGAGGAACTGCAGGGCGCTAAGCGCGAGATTCACGGCGACCTAGACCCAGGGCGACCTCAGGGCGCTGCTCTGCGGGGTTCGGTGGGGGAGGGAGACGGGGCGTCCAGGTCGCGCACCCTACAGAGCCCGCGGGCCGGCGCGCGGCCTCCAGGTGGGCAGAGACCCCGCGGGAAAGTGCCTCCTTGGTCATCGGAGCGCAGGATACGCGAGTGACGGGTCCCTTCTACTGCCAAGGGTCCCCTCGACACACACTCGCGGGGCACACCGCGTAGCAAGGTCACAGGGACACGCCGGGTCCCGCCCGCAGCCCCCACCGCCCCGCGCTGCGCGCTCCGCTTAGACCTCCGCGCGCCCGCGCCCGGCCGGAGGCCACCCGCTCCACGTTAGATTGCCGGGCGGTGGTTCTCTCCTAGGAACTGGCCACGGGGCAGCTGGGGACACACGGCACTGATGGAGCTGCCTGACTTTCAAACTTCCTCCCCAAAAGGTAAGGAAAACAAGAAGGAAAAAACAAACTACACCAAACCAGGCCGTCCACATAACTGAAGACGGAGAACACCCAACGCGCAGTGTGTCTATACCCTTAAAAAGAAAACAGCGCCAAGCCCCCTCCTGCTACCTCCCGCTACCTCACCCCCCCTCCCCAACGAGCCTTCACCGAGAAAACCCCCAGCGAGACAGAAAAGGCCGGGCTCAGGGTTAGGCCCAGGGCAAGGGAGCCGCTTCTTGTTGGGAACTAAACGATCAAAGTGGAGTCAAGTCAAAGCGCCTGCACTTTGCTCTGCCCGCAGAAGAGGGTGCCATTCAATAGGAATTGATAAAAACAAACAAACAAAAAAACAACAAAAAACAGGCAAACCCAATAGCATTAAATTTACAAGAGAAAAGGGAAGGCATGTATGCAGAACTAGCAAGATAACCACAGGAATTGAAATTGAACACAAGAAAACATCAGAAATTGAAATTGAACACCTATCAACTCTGGAAACTGTCCACGAAGCGGAAGAAAACGTCACGGCCACATTTCAAACTGAACAGAACATGCTCCAGCGGACGCTTGAAAACGCAATCATGTGCATTTCCGTCAAATCAGTAACAACATGTAAATAAATCACACAGAAGAATGAAGAGTTAGTTGGATGTAGGAGCAGCGTTTTTTAAAAATCCAAAGATTTCTCAGAAATGAGGGGAAAATTACAAGATGCCTAAGGGAGTGTAGACATAAATGAGAATTAAGAAAGGCATCAAAACAACCAAGAGAATAAAATGGAGAAGTATAGTATTTGTTTATTGGAGCCTCCAGATAAGAAAAACCACCGTAGAATCCACTAAAATCTCTGCTTCTTAGTCAGACCTTAAAGGTTCTACTAGTGACTGGTACTTTGAAAGTGAGATTGGATTGAATGATCCTGGATAAAGGAGAAAAAGGAATAAACTTAAAAAGTGGAAAGTCAGAACTCATCAAATTATCTTTTTTAAAAAGATTTTATTTATTTGTTTTTAGAAAGAGGGGAAGGAAGGGAGAGACACAGCGATCGGCTGCCGAGCGCACGCTGACCCAGGATAAGCCGTTAATTCAGGCACGTACCCTGACCGGGAATTGAACCAGTGACCTTTTGCTTTGCAGGATGATGCTCCACCAACTGAGCCACACTGGTCAGGGTTTGTCAAATGATCTTAAAAGTTGTGGGGGCAGGCACTTTGGTGCCTGAGAGCACTTCCTAGTGGTACCCAAACAGTGCGTAATAGACCTACAGCATTTTCAAGAAACAGTCTGTAATGGTCTCTCTGCTGGAACAATATTTTGTTGGAAAACATGAGATTGAGGGAAACATGCTGCTTTGAAAAGTAATTATGCAAAAAGAGCTCTGAGAAGCTTGTGAGAAATCGAGGAAATAAGAAGCAAAGCTAAAAGCAACTGACATTTTTCGGACCTCAGATTCGCTGTGCTTACAAAATCAATGCCAGATTGATTGCCTCGCATTTCCCCGTTCACTCATCTGCAATTTGAAAAGCTGGTACATCCCAAAGCAGGTCAAAATATTGTTAACTGCAATTTATTTTAGGAAGGCAAGGCAAAGTTACCCCTGGAAAACCTTTATTGCAACCAGGAAAATACAAAGTGGTCATAAATATGGTGAAAAATAATTACTGGTTCCTTTCTGAATCCGAAACTGACTTCCACGAAATCCTTTAAGAGTTAAAAGAATAGAAGCATAAACAGAAGTACATGGAGACAAACACGTAAGAACAAAGAAATTAAACATCAGTGGAGGACAGTTTTGATGTGACTAATGTAATTTAGTTATGTTTTCACTGAAATTTAACATTACTTTTACCATATAATATATTCCTACAATTAAAAAAAAAAAAAAAAAAAAAGACTGACTACAGCCCTGACTAGTGAGGCTCAGTTGGTTGGGCATCATCTGGCAGCATGAAAGGTCGCCGGTTTGGTTCCCCATCGGGGCACATGCCTGGGTTGCAAGTTCGATCCCCAGTCAAGGTGGGTACAGGAAGCAAATGATCAATGTTTCTCTGTCCCATCAATGTTTCTCTCCCTCTCTTTTTCTCTCCTTTCCTCTCTTTCTTAAGTAAATAAATATTGCAGCATCTACCCTGTGAACACGCAGCATAAAATTGAGAAAAATACACCAAAATCCTAAGGAAATAGCAATCTACACCTCAAGTAAGCATATCATTCGGGAAGAGACTTTCGCAGTCATGAAACCAGTAACCGGAACGTTGCCCTCCACACTTGATGTGTTCGGTGTGGAAAGGACACTTGGAAGAGAAAAGGTGACATTTTTGAGGAGAGAACAGAGGACACAGGCTGTAACTCACAGCTGCCCTGAGAGACGGGCAGAGCCCACAAGAGTCACGCAGTTACATTCCCACAGCCCATTGTGAGCGGAGACGCAAATGTCAGAGAGTCGGGACTGTCTTACAAACAGTGAGAAAGAGCAAGTGAGAGGTTGTCGCCTAGAGAGGGTTAGGAACTCAAGGGTTAGTCACCCGCAAGTTCAGGTGATTAGCGTGAGACATTTGGAGAACTTGAGGGAACTTCGACATCCTTAACCCTGTGCATCTGAGGACACAAGTGTATAAGTCAAGTCTCAAGACTGAAACGCTTTCTGAATGATTTTGTAACAACTATAATTAAAACGATACATGCTGGTCACTCTTTTCTCTAAGGCAGCCTTTTCCACGGTGACATAGAATATGCAGGGAAATGTCACACCAAATCAAATAAGTCATCAAACTGTTACCCCGTAAACTTGCTGGAAGAACGCATTTTGCTCTAAACGCAGCTTCGAGCAAATTCTACGTTACGGCAAATGAATTTAGGACAGACTTACAAACCCCAAGATAATTCAAGAGGGAAAAAAAAATGGCAATTAGGTCCCTTTTATCAGAAATATTCAGGTGCCTGAGATTTAAAAAAAAAAAAAAAAAGGCTGGGTTAACTTAAAATAATCTAATTACAACCTCCATCATTTTCCACTTAGTGAATGTGTGGAAAGATTTAGGGTCCAGGGGTGTCCAACCTTTTGGCATCTCTGGGCGGCCCTGGGAGAAGAGTTGTCTTGGGCCACCCATTAAATACTTTGTGACACGTCATGACAAAAAAAATCTCATCGTGTTTCAAGTAAATTTATGATTTTGGGTTGGGCCGCCTTCACAGCCATTCCGGGCTGCATGTGGCCCACGGGCCGCAGGCTGGACACCCCGGACTTTCTCCATTTGCCAAATAAAATATAAAATATAAAATATAAACCCCAGGTAAAAGATCGTTCTGCCAAAGCCCTGAGCCTCACCTCCATCAGAACGAAGAGCGCCGCAAAGAACAGAAGCGTTGCCCACTCCACACGGTGCAGAATTATCTCAAAATCGTGGATATCGGCTAAAACCAGCAACCAGATGGCTCCCAGGATAGCGATCCACCCTGAAAGACAAATAAGCGGGCACGGAGCTGTAGTGTTAAAAATAAATACACAAACAATGAGGGGCCACCCAGGGAGAGTGGCCAGATGTGGCCGATGGCGACCAGGTTTCATCAAGAAGGTGGTATTTCAGGGAGACCTTAAAGGATGTGTCACTTCTCAGGTCCGGAAGGAAAGGGCGTTCAAGACAAATGGATCAAAGGACAGCAGCCAGGCCTGGGCGGAGTGACAGCGGGCAGCAGCCGCAGCAAATGCCTAAATGCGTTTTGTCATGAGGCCAAGATAAATTGCAACACCGTGCATCCCTGTCATCATATACTGTTTCAAGTGGCCAGTCTACGTTCAAGGTTAGACGCCCTGCGCCGCAAGACGCCACCGTCAAGCGCTCTGAGCCGTAAAAGCACAGATGCGTCCACAGGCTGGTGAGCGCGCATCCGCGGGCCAAGGACGCCAAGCTGTCGCTGGGCTTGCCCTGGGCGACCCTGGGGGCCAAGGGCTGCTGCCTGTTCAGAGGAAATACCACCAGGGTCGCTTGCTTCCTTGTATTTGCTCAATTTGCTCCTTTTGGTTGAAATCTTTCGTTTCACCCCGCACTTCTGAACTCCTGCTCTTGCCGCGTGAACTGCACGTCAAATGCTTCCCTCCATGAGCCGCATTTCCTGGTCCTTTCAACTGGATGTGATCTCTTTGGCCTCCTCCTCCTCCCCGTCTTCCTCCTCCTCTTTCTATCCCGCCAAAGACTGAAAAAAGAACAGTCTGCGGAGAAGCAGGAGGCTAGGAAGAGAGTACAGTGTTGGGGGAGGGGCGCGGTCCCTTAAAGAGAGAGGTAACTTGCCGCGACCTCAGGGCCGAGTCTGCCACTTAGCACAGGATCATCCCGCTTTGATTGAGGCTGATCAGGGAGCTAAAAACGCCTTCACAGAGGCGACAATGAAATCACGCAACAGCGGGACACTGAGGGACACCAGCAGTTTCGAAACTGTCGCCAGGGAAATATAATCACAGAAAAACCTCCAGGACTGAAATCTAATCAGACACATTGTGAGAGAACCCAGGGGGATGTTCTGAATTAATTATTAAGATGAGGAGACCTGGCAAATTGCTAATCAATGTGATAACGTTGAAGGCCACAGTAACATTTTTAAGCCAGCTCACGGATACTTTTTAGAGTCTCATAATCAGTTATCCACAATTCTGAAATCCGTTCAGAAGAGCACTTTTTTTTTTTTTTTATCAGTTTCATGTCAAGATTCAATAAACCCTGACTTGGATTGAAATGAGGTTCTTTGCGGTCTTCCTTATCCCCCTTGTTTTATTCACAGTCATGTTTTGCTGCAGAAATATTAATTAATGCTCAGATCATAGGGACCTGGCGCTGGGCCTATTGGGGGGGCGGGGTGTTGCCTCACACAGAATTCAGCACATGCGGTGAATTGTTTGTAAAACACAAACAAAAATACCTGAATTTTGCAACACATCTGGTGTCAAGACTTTCAGGGAAGGACTGGGGACCTGTGTGTGACAACTGAGCTACCTGGAGTTAACTCCAGGGTTCGCCATGAGGCAGAGACCCCTAAATATCACCTGGCTGGTTGGCTCAGTTGGTTGGAGCGCCGTCCTGTACACCAAAAGGGCTGCAGGTTCGATCCCCATCAGGGCAAGTATGGGAGGCAACCGACCTCTCTCTCCCAATCAGTAAAAGATTTTTAAAATATCGCTATTTATTTAAAAACCACTGCCAAACACTACCAAAACTCATGCAAACTCCCCAATAGTTTTTAGTTTTTCAAATGCAGGCTGTTGTTTTCAAAAGTGGAACCTCGAATGAAATTAGAAACTAAATAATCTGGGAACACTGAAAAGAACAATCTGTCGGGAACCCCTCTGCCCACCAATGCCAGTTTTATTGTATTTGCTTAATTACCACTGAACATCCCTACAGTGAATAAACATTTATAATATTAAAGTTACACTGTATCTGAAGTGAAATTAAAAATAATTACGCCGCACCTGTAACTTATAGATTTAATCCACCCCATATAGCCCTGGCTGGTGAGGCTCAGTGGATTGAGTTCTGGCCTACGAACCAAAGGGCTGAAGGTTCGATTCCCAGTCAGGGCACATGCCTGGGTTGCAGGCCAGGTCCCCAGGAGGGGGCGCGCGAGAGGCAACCACACATGGATGTTTCTCTCCCTCTCTTTCTCCCTCCCTTCCCCTCTCTAAAAATAAATAAATAAAGCCTTTTTTAAAAATCCACCCAATACAAGTACAACATTTTTACCACGCTAGCTTTACATTCTTTCCTATTACCCCAGGATCTCGTGGATCGGCTTCTAGGTGGGGACAAAGAACACCAGTCACCTCAGAGCCAAGGCCAGGCCACCTGGCAAATTGGATGCGAGGTTCCTTAAGGAGATAAATTCTGAGAGGCTGTGAAAGCAAACTATAAAGCTGGACCCCCAGACAAAAGACTGTGCGTCATGTGCTAAATGTGAGACTAGAAATGGAACTTTCTATACATGACAGCAAGGGGAAACTGAGTCACGCTCTAAAGACTCTAGTGGGACCCAAGGACCCATGGAATCATGCTGCACTACAAATAACTAAGGCCTGGCCATGTTATCTGTCTAGTTCACAAAGTTAAGAGGTTTTTGCTTTGTACAGAAATTTTATCCATCAAATGCTTCAGCAAATCCAGGTGTTATAAAAAGATTTTTAAATATCTCAGCAGAGCCCACTTTTGAAAGCAGGCCACTCACAAAGCTTTGGTTAAAGCAAAAAAGCCTTACCACCACTTAGAATTTATCTTTCTCATAAATCTACCCTTCATGGAGGGCGGATTTTGGAAGTGGTTGGGTTTCATTTTAATTAAACAATGACCCCAGTAACCCCGGCTGGTGTGGCTCCGTGGGTTGGAGCATCGTCTCATAAACCAGGAGGTCGCAGGTTTGATTCCCAGTCAGGGCACATGCCTGGGTTGCGGGTTCAATACTCAGTCGGGGCGCGAACAAGGGGTAACCAATTGATGTTTCTCTCACACTGATGTTTCTCTCCTTCTTTCTCCCTCCTTTCCTCTCTCTTTATAATCAGTAAGCATGTTCTCAGACGAGGATAAAATTTTTAAATGTTTAAAAATATTAATAATGACCCTAACAGAGACACCTGTTAAGTCAATCAGAAAAACCTCAGGAAAATACAATGCACTCCCGCACTGCGGCAGGGTGCTGGGTTCACAAGGCGTCAGAGCGCCACCTGCCGGCAACCACGTCTCAGGCGGGGACGGGCCCTGGGCTCTGGGCCCGGACAGACGGCGGAAACAGCGGGAAGTGACAGCAAGCGTCACAGTGGAAGCGAGAGAAGAGCAGCCTCCAGGGGCAGGTGGGTCTGACGACGGGAACAGAGGCACAACCTGAGAAGGACAGGGGACTGAGACCTCTAGCCCCGTCGCTGTCTGGCCCTGCCGCCATGACTTCCTGTCTCTCCTCCCGCAACAGTATAAAGATGTGTTACCAAGTGCGACCGAGATGATACTATCTAGTCTCTTCTCTGTCCCTGCTAATGTTAAACCCGAGGAGGGACTGAGAACCCAGGATACGCATCCCTCTTCTTCCCCCTCCCCCATCCCGTGAGAAACAAAACCCCAGGTCGTGCAGAAAGGCTTCCCCGTTCCCTGGAAGGCTGGCCACCCTCGACCTCCGACCTCGCCACCCAGCCGCGTCACCAGCGTCTCAGCACCAGCGTGAAACCTCCCCTTCCGGTGGTGACGTCAAGCACCAAGCCCAGCAACAAAACCCAGCGACGCCTGCGACACTCACCGAGATCGAGGTGGACTCTGGGGACGAAGGAATTGAGGAAGAACATGAGTATAACGACACCCAGCACCGCCAGGCACTTGGCCAGCAGAATCCTGTCCGATATCCTGTGCTGCGAGAGAGGACGAGAGTGTTCTGACTCCTGCCGCGTGGCCGTCGTCCCACGCGACCCGAGTCCCTGCCAAGCTCTCCTTAGGGTGAGAACGGAGAGATCTTGAACTTGAAAGATGAGAAGGAGGAAACGTGGTACAAGGAAAACCGTACAGATTTGGGATCAGAGCATCCAAAATCCTACGGAAAAGAGACACGCTGACTTTAAAATGCAGTGCGATCTTTTTGTCGACACCTGGCTAAGTGGCTTTTCTATAGGACACTGAACGTGTCACTCTGTTCCCACTCCCAGGGCGGGAGGGAGGGGAGACGCTGGCAAGGCTACTGGGGAGACGACACGTGAGGCCCAGGGACCTGGCCTTTTGAGACACGTGCGTGTCCATGGGTTCTGAGTGCTCGTTGCTCCGGGCTCCCGGAGGTGCCGAGGTTCACTGTCCCTGCGGTGGCGTGAGTCCTGCTGAAGTTCCCTGCCGGGTCCTTCCGTGTAACACTCACAGGGACCCTGGAAGGCATTCAGCTCTCCTCTGATTGGTAGGACGACGCCCACGGGAGCCTGCCCGGTTGTCTGGAGACAAAAGAAGGAGCCAGAGGCGCTCTGAGCTCGGAAGCAGCTTCAGTAAACCTCAGAGGTGCGAACCCGCGGCCGGCGGGACTGAGCCACCGAGCGAGACACGAGACACGAGACACGGCCAGGTCCCCCGCAGAAGCTGCGCTCCGAGGGCCATGGCTGCATGGGGCCCCGGCAGGGAGTGCGGTCCCCAAGCCACACGGGTGGGCAGCACATGGTCCTGCACCACCTCGCCAGGCCCTGGTGAGAATCCTGCTCCACGGTGTCAACTGACAATCCGGCTGTGTCCCTTCTGAAGTTAGTCCCACTGACACATCCGTCTGTCTGTCTGCCTGAGTCTATCTAGAACCAGAATTAGACACACACAGATATCTAGCTGTGGACGTGGGCACAGGGACAAGTACATACACACAGGTGTGAGTACAGGTATGGAGACGATGCAGGTACTGCCGTTCTCTCTTGGCTTCTCTGCTCACACAGTTCAAGTTGCTGCATAAAAACCATGAGCGGCCCTGGTCGGGTGGCTCAGATATCTGCAGCATCGTCCCGTGCACCTAAAGGCTGCGGGTTCGACTCCCAGGCAGGGCACATGCCCAGATAGCAGGTTTGATCTCCACTAGGGGCACGAACAGGAGGCAACACAATTGATGTGTCTCTTTCTCTCTCTCTCTCTCTCTCTCTCTCTCTCTCTCATCTCGCTCTCCTCCCCAGGCCACAGTCGCAGCCACACGGGCGGGCGGGGCAGGCGGGGCAGGCAGGGCAGGCAGGGCCTGGGTGCACCTGGAGCCTCGAAAAATGTCACAGCCGCACCTTCTTCCTGAACCCTAAGCATCTGAATGGGACAGAGCTTGGGAAGGAGGACCATGAGCCCATACCCCTCAAAGAGCACCTTACCCACCAGGACCCTAACACCTACGTGTTCTTAAGCCGAGGACAGAATGCTCCCATCGTCTTTAGGGAGTGGGTATTCGATCTCTCCCCAGGAAAGAAACTGCGTGGATTTAAAATTTCATAAAGGTACCCATAAGTCCCAGGGGACCCTGGGCGGAGCTCTGCTGGCTGGGACAGGGCACCGCGTGCCCTCGGGTGGGCTGAGAAAGTCCCCTGAGGCTGGAAGAGGAGCAAAAATGCCCAAATAAGCTTTGCCCCCAGCACTCAGAGCCATAGGACGGAACACGCACATGTCCCTTCTCGTCCCTAACACCGGCCTTGGTCCCCACCTCCTCTCCCAGACGCTAGGATCCCCCAGCCTTTGAGACTCAGAGAGCCCGGCACTGACCAGCCTCCCCTGATGCCACGCCCACCACAGAAAGGGCCACAGCGCCTCAGGGGGAAGGTAAAGAACTTGACCCTTTGGCTTTGGGGACAAAATAAACCTGCCCCGTTCGGAAAATGTTTTTCCCATTAACTCCTGGAAATAACTTGTGTCTTGTGGGCAATTAGAGGAGTAAAAAGAGAGGGTTTTCCGTTATAATGTCACGTGCAGCAAAGAAAGAGGGTGGCTCTCTTCGCGAGCTGAGTCACTCGGTGGAAGACTATGCAGCTGTAACAAAGAGGGGACCCTTGCCCTTCGCAACAGCGTGGATGGACCTGGAGAGCATTATGCTAAGTGACGTGCGCCAGCCAGAGGAGGACAAATACCACGTGATCTCTCTCACGTGGAATCTAGTGGACAAAATAAACTGATGGACAAAATAGAACCGGAGGCGAGGACGGAGGGAACAGACTGACAGCTGTCAGAGGTGGGGGGAGGGGACCGGATGAAAGACAGTGAGGGATTAGCCAGAGGACGTGTCTGCCACAGTGTGGTGAGGGCCAGGGGAAGGGGCAGCGGGGGCTGGAAGGAGGGGAGCAAAGGAAGGGAGGGTGAGGACATCTGTAATAGCGTCAGCAATGGAAAGGACAGAAAAAAAGAATAAAAATCCCCCAGAAAAGAAAACACAGTACCTTTTTCTGTAGCTCCTGGATATTGGTCTCCCAATTCTTATCTTCCTGTGAGATTTGTCTGAAATGAAAACAGGAGACTCCTTATCCTTCCGGTGATCCTGAGCAGTGACGTCAGCAGGGCGTGGCCAGCAGCCCCGGCCGCCCTGGGCTCCGCCCACTGGGAGGCACCTGGCGCGGCCACGTGACTACACACCTGGAAAGTGGCCGATGAAGCCGGGTTTACGGACTTGGCAAGGGACTTGCTCTGTATTTCCAGAGAAACAACCCACGAAACTATGGGAACGTTTGATGAAATGCGTGTGAGCGCGGGCACGGGACACGTCAGGACACTGGCCAAAGTGTGAACGAGGAAGGACGGACACTAAGCCAACTTTGTTTTCCTCTTCTTATTATTTTTCGCTTTTCTGATTTTTTTTTCCAGAATGAGGATATGATATAATTACAACTCAGCTAACTAAAGAAGAGAAGAGGAAAAGAAATGCCACTTGTGCCCTGCCCGGTGTAGCGCCGTTGGTTGGAGCGCCGACCCGTACAAGAAGAAGTTGCAGGTTTGATTCCCAGTCAGAGACATGCCTAGGTTGCAGGTTCGAACCCCGGTCGGGGCCCTTATGGGACGCAATGGATCAATGTTTCTCTCCTTCTCTCTCCCTCCCTGCTTCCTCTCTCTAAAAATCAACTTACAAACATCTCCTCGAGTGAGGATTAAAAATAAACTGAGTATGGTTAGATATTCTTTGAGCTTCCTGGAAATCTACAACAGGAAGAATGTTCTGTTACATTAATGACTTTTTATTCTTGCTATGCAACGAGTGTGGCGTACGGCAGTGGGACAGGCACGGCTGAGAGTGTGAGTTCAGCCCCAGTGCGCGCGTTCCTCGCTGTGTGGCCCGCGGCAAATCGCTCAGCCTCTCTGAGCCTCGATTTTCTCGTCCTTAACCGCGGCCCCACAGAACTCAGGGAGGGCTGGATAAATGAGCGCACAGCGCGTGGCGCGGGAAACTTTCCCTCTGCACAGATCTGTACGTTGTGTGATACTTGGGCATGAGTGGGGTGGTGGCAGATAGGCGACTGATGCCATCCGGTCATTGAGCACAACCGGTTTACAACAGGCGTGTAAACCGAGCGCGGCCCGAGCGGAGCCCCAGCGGATACCTGTGGAAGGTATGCAGCCTGCGAGCCAGCAGCTGCTCCAGCACCAGCACCTTCCTCAGAAGCAGGCCCCGCACGGCCGTCTCCTCGCGGCTGGCCGGGCTGATGCGCTGCGCGGTCATGCGCCACACGTGGATTTCATGCTTCAGCTCTGCAGGAAACGAAAGCCGACGCTGAGTCTCCGGCAGCCGCGGAGGTGGGCAGACACCCGGCTTCCCTCACCGTCTTCCAAGAACAAGAAACACACCCCCCGCAAGGAGGCACCGATCACGGGCCACACCAAAGCAGCGGCTTCTTTGCATCCAAGCTTTTGTAATGGAACCAGGAGACAAAGCTGACTTTTAAAACTACCATCGCCCTGGCTAGTGTGGCTCAGTGAACTGAGCTCCAGCCTGTGAACCAAAGAGTCGTGGGTCCGATTCCCGGTCAGGGCACATGCCTAGGCTGTGGGCCAGGTTCCCAGGTGGGAGCTGTGCAAGAGGCAACCACACACTGATGTTTCTCTCCTCTTCCTCCCTTCCCCTTTGTTTAAAAATAAATAAAATCTTAAAAAAAAAAAACAACTTAAGCAGCACAGTATTGTCATGAACCACTGCATTTTGCCGCGTATAATGAGCACTTTTTTGTCCAAATTTTTGAGGGAAAACTAAGGATACACATTATACATGGGTAGTGCCTGCAATACCTTGTATCTGTTCTTGTCTTTTGTAATTACTGGTTGCATAAAATTTCTTGTGCCATACTAGGTTTAAAAATAAATGCTAAAATTCCTTTAAAATACAAAAAAAATATAAACAAATAAAAATTGAATTAAAAAATTAAAACAAAAGATTGTTTTCCTGAACGTTTGGGCCAAAAACATGGGTGAGCATTATACACAACAAAATATGGTATATGCCGCTCACTCCACACACAGAACCATAGGAATCCCAGGTGAAGGGAAAAAACCAAGCCTCCCAAGCAGGTAAGAGCACCAACAACCAGACGCGGGCAGCAGCGGTCAGGGCGATTTCCCCAACCAGAGTCGCTCCACGCACAGCCGGGTTCACCAACAAGGAGAACGCCCCCCGTTGCTCCCCTTCATTCAGTGCCCAAGTGGTCAACCGACCAGGTGGCAGACCTACTTCAAACACAGATGCGCGAGGCACGGGGAGACGCAGGCTCAAGTGAAGGCTGTCACGTCTCAGAAAAGACACAACTGGTAGAGCCCAGAAGCACTAAGCCCATTTCAGGGAACACACGGTTTTCTCTAAAAGGTCAGCCTGCCCTGCCTGGGTAGCTCAGTTAGTTAGAGCGTCGTCCCGGTACACCAAGGTTGTGGGTTCGAGCCCCAGTCAGGGCACATATAAGAAGCAACCAATGAATGCATCAATAAGCAGGACAACAAATCGATGTTTCTGTCTCTCTCTCTCTCTCTCTCTCTCTCAAATCAATAAATATAATACAAAGATGAAAACTTTGGAACTAAGATCTGTAATGTGTTTCCATTCTGTACAAATTGATACTCTGTAATTGACTAAAATGAAGACACTTGAGTTTAATTCAAAAGCCTCTTCAGAGAAATACATCAATAATTTCCTTTTGGAAAGTCTCACATCTCATTAAACGTTTCCAGGCAGATTCTAGAATGTTCCTCTATATAGCTGAAACATAGCCTCACATGGTTTTTTAAGATCACTCGATACCTAAGCCAAATATTTGTTTTTTCAGTATACAGTTTAATTTATTTTTCTTATAAGAAGAATATTTTTAGTGGGCCAAATTAACTGAGAGGCCATGGTTTCCACATTTGGTATTCATAAACACTAAAATAAAATAATGAATCCTGGCCAGTGTGGCTCAGTGGATTGAGTGCCGGCCTGTGAACCACAGGGCTGCTGGTTCGATTCCCAGTCAGGGCACATTGTCTGGGTTGCAGGCCAGGTCCCCAATAGGGGACATGTGAGAGGCAACCACTCATTGATCTTTCTCTCCCTCTCTTTCTCCCTCCCTTCCCCTCTGTCTAAAAATAAATAAAATCTTTTTAATTTTTTTAAATAAAATAATGAAAAATAGTAGCCCACCTACCCATGTATCTTTCTTTTTACTGAGTGATTTCCCTCCAACATAAAATGTATTTTTTTAAAAGGAAGTTTTAAAATCCTTATATGAAGTCATCGCATATTGAAAAGAATATCAACCTTAACATGACATGTAACAAACATGCATTTTGCCCTGGCCCAGTAGCTCACTTGGTTAAGGAGCCATCCTGATGCGCCAAAGTTGCAGGTTTGACCCCCCCGGTCAGGGCACTTGCAAGAATCAACCAATGAATGTATGAACAGGTGGAACAGAAAATCAGTATCTCCCCCTCTCTCAAATCAATTTTTTAAAAAATGTTAATGTATTTTGATTTGCATTTCAGACAAAAAAAAATATGTTGAGGGAATCTCTCCCCAAAAACCCGCTATAAGATTACGAAGACATAAAAAGGAGAAGGAGGGCGAGAAGAACGAACGAAGGGGCCCTCTGAAGCGTTGAGCACAAAACGCCCCGCCGGCCCGGGAAGGGGGCGGAGCCGGCCGGGCGCAGTGCGCGTTCCGACGGCGCCGGTGCCTCCTCCAGGCCTCGCGCCCCATCGGGCAAGGGCACCATTCAGAGCCCATCCCCAAAGCCCGACACCTCCCAGCCACCTTTCCATGGCCCGCTGGTGACGGCCACTTTCCCAAGCAGCTGCTCGCCTCTGACCGGCCACTCGGGGGCGTGGCTCGGCCCCGGACCAGCCAGTGGGCCGCAGGCTGCGGGGCGGGGCTCTCCACCTCGGCGTCCGAAGCAGCAGAGACTGGAAGCCACCGCTGTGTGCGTGTGGGAGGCCGGCCTCCTGAGTCCCCAGGGTCCTTTCTGCACATGACCTCTCCAGAGGCAGCGTCGGCCCCTCCTGCACAGCCAGAGCCGGGCTACCTTCCCACCCAGCAAACCAGGCAGCACAGGCGCTCTCTCCCCAGACGCGGCTGCTCGGGTAGCGCACTTCTGTTTTCCTAATTGCGGGTGACACACAGCATCGGTTATGAGGGAATTTAGGCTGGAGAGATTCTGCGCAGGAGCATGGAGCCCGGTGCACCCACGGCGCAGTGCGCTCCTCAGTTCCTGCGCTTCCTCCCGCCGGCTGTGCCGCGGGCGCATTCTGTCCCCTCTGCTAACTCCTGAGGCCGCGGTCGCACTGGCTGCTTGGTATTGTCCTCCGCACCTTGTGCTGCAAGGCTTGCAGATAAACCGTTCCCCTTCCCCCACAGAGCTCCGTCTCCTCTCACTTTTAGTTTTTACGTGACATCATCAATCTTCCGAGTGCATGAGCTCAAAATGTCATTTTGGTCCTATCGCTGTCACTCTGCGCTCTATTTCTGCGTGAGCGTCATTGGACATAAAACAAGTGCCAGGCGGCGTGCAGGTGCTAAAGGAGAATACATTAATAAGGTACTGGGTGCGCCCCCCACAAGCTAGAAAGAGATATAAGATGCGTGATAAATAGATGAGGCAATAAAGTAACGGGCTACAGGGAAACGTTCGGGACATGCGGGCCTAGTCCTTGCCGGGCTCACCTGTCCCTGCCCCTGCCCCAGGTCACCAGCTCCTCCAGGCCTCACGGGCTCACAGCTGCCGCCTCTCATCGGTCCTTAGGAAGCTTTGAATGGGACTACATCAAACCAAAAGGCTTCTGTGCAGCGAAAGACACCATCAACAAAACGAAAGGGCAAACCAACCAAATGGGAGAAGATATTTACAAACAATACTCCCAATAAGGACTTGATACTCAAAATCCATAAAGAACTCAGACTATTCAACAATGACAGCAACAAACAAAGGATCTAATTTAAAAATGGGCGAAGGACCTGAACAGACACTTTTCCAAGAAAGACTCGCAGATGGCCAACAGATACACGAAAAGACGCTCAACATCGCTGATCGAAGAAATGCAAGTTACAACCACGAGATATCACCTCACACCGGTGAGACTGGCCATCGTCCACAAGACAAGTAATAACGGGTGCTGATGAGGATGTGGAAAAGGGGGAACCCTTGTGCGCTGTTGTGATTGTAAATTGGTGCCTCCACTATGGAAACCAGTACATCCTAAAAAAATTAAAAGTAGAGCTACCGTAAGATACAGCAGTTCCACGTCAGGGTGCTTAACTAAAAAATAATAATATATGTACCTCTATGTTCACTGCAGCATTATTTACAATAACCAAGATAGGGTAACAACCTAAGGTCCGTTGAAGACGATTGGATAACAAAGATATGATCTATACACACACCACAGTGGAGTACTGCTGAGTCCTGAGTTAAATGAACTATTGCCATCTGTGACAGCGTGGATGGCCCTTGAGAGTATTAGAGGATTTGAAATAAGTCAGTGGGGAAAAGACAAAAACTGTTAGATTTCACTCCCATGGGGGATAGGAAACAAAAAGTAGCAAATGAATGAACAAAACAAACAAAAACCAAACGCAGGGGTACAGACGACGGAATGGGGGTCACCAGAGGGGCAAAGGGCAAAAGGGGGTCAGATACACAGTAACGAAGTGAAATAGACTGCGGACGGTGCCCAAGCCGTGGCGTACACAGATGTCAGATGGTAATGCTGGACACCTTAACATTGTATAATATTACCCAGTGTTACCTGAGCCCGTTTAATTTTTAGAAAACTAAACAAGCACGGCTCCTGGATTTAAAGGCCTTGAAAGTACTCTGGGGACCAGGGGGCAGAAGGGGACACACTGAGGGCACAGCACCCCAGCGACTGACACTTCCCGGACATCCCATATGAGGTGGCTCTCCTGCCTCTCTGTGGTCATCTCCCCCGGAAAAAAAAATACTATAATGGAGGCACGTTCTGGGGCTACAGAGGCGCTTCTACTCACCAACGATCTCACTGGGCTCCTTGTTGTACAGCTTTTTCTTCCAGTAAAGAAGTCTGAGGAGTGGAAAGGAGAACAAGAGAACAAAGCAGATCCCAACGAACATGTGCGCTGTGAATCCTGCGAAGTCCACGCCCTGGAAATGGGAAAGGGGACATTCCATGACAGGACCCCACGGGCACCGCTCCTGCCCCACCCGCATTACTGATAAAGTCGCATCGAAGTTTCGTCTTGCGGTGCATGATAATCTGAAATCTTAGACTCGTGCAGTTAGTTACCCGCATGTCCAGTGTCTGTCCCTGGCAGCATCGCACTGACAGATGGCGCCATATGAGCGCATTAATGTACAGATGGCAGAGAACACTACAAAGGGCTGGGGCTCATGGGATATTTTTGTGGTCAGGTAAGAATTCACCACTTTTCCAGTAGTTCTTTTCTTAATTTTTAATATGTTTATCGATTTTAATTTTTAAAATACGTTTATTGATTTTAAAGAGAGAGGAAGGGAGAGAAACGTCGATGTGAGAAACACCAATTGATTACCTCTACAACCTAATGGGGATCGAACCCCCAACCTTTTGGTGTATGGGACAACACTCCAACCGAGCCACGTGGCCAGCGCACTGGTAATGCTTCAGTTAGAATATAACCTTACACTTTTTTTTCCTATAGAAATCATGCTCCAAATATCTGGTTTAAAAAAAGGCCCATGATACTTTCAGGGGCCATTGAAAATATTTTAATTTCTTCCAAAATCAGAAACAAACAAAAAAAAAACTTCTGAGTCCAAAAAAAAAATGGCTTAAAATATAATATTAATGTAATTGCCTTTATACCAATGTATTCATGAAATCTGATTAATATTTTTGGGAGAAAGGAGCCCACTAAGGCAGACACACTTGTATACTGAGTAATTCTGGGTATCTTTGGAACGTAAGTATAAATGTTGTCCCATTGGAAATGATGGAACAATGGAAGAGAAAGTGAGGAGTAAAGAAAGAAAAGAGCCGCCCTGACCAGGTGCTCAGTTGGTTGGAGCATCATCCCGGGCACCAAAAGGTTGCGGGTTCGATCCTGGTCAGGGCACGTATGGGAGGCAACCAATTGATGTCTGTCTGTCTCTCTCTCACCCCCCCTCCCCCTCTCCCCCGTCCTTTCTCTCTGAAATCAACAGACATATCCTACGGAGAGGAGAAAGAAAGGGAGGGAGGGAGGGAGGGAGGGAGGGAGGGAGGGAGGGAGGGAAGAAGAAAGGAGGGAGGAAGGAACGAACGATCAAACGAACGAATGAATGGCATCCCAGCATTTCGTAGAAACACTTGGTTGCCACTAGAGTTATAATGGGTGGATTTATCAAGTAAGAACCATGAAGAAAGAAAAAAATCCAAGCTGAAAATTTTAAGAAACCATTCTGGAATGTAAGGTACAATGAAATGCAAATACTTTCACTGGGCTTAGTAGGTACACGTATCTCAGCTTTCCTGATGCTTTCACGCGCCTCTATTCGTTCCCTAGACTCCCCTCCTTAACGTTTTCAGGGACAAAACCACTCGCTGTTACACTCACGTCAACGCAGAGCTTAAACGCAGCCCCCTCCTACAAGGGGCTGGTTCTGTTTTACTCCCCTCTAAGCCTTTGTTTTGTACTGTCTGGGTTTGGACGCCACCGAGATGCTTCCTTCTTAATTGTCCACAACGTCCTCTTTGGTAGTGTAAGTGCTCAAATGTTAAGACAGCAAAACAGCCAAACAGCATCCTCGGAATCAGATTAGAGCACCCGCAGCCTCATAAACTGCATCTATTTAAGGCGGAGCCAGCTGGGGAACCCCTGGTCCCCAGATAGCATTTTCTAGGGAGACGACATTCAGACCAGCTTTGTGACAAGCCAGCTGGGTTGCAGCTGTGTGGTTGCAGCCAAAATTGTTTCTCGAGTTCCTCTGATTTGAGAAATGCAAAGAGTTCTGGCTGGCGTGGCTCAGTGGATTGAGCGCCGACCAGAGAACCACAGGGTCGCCGGTTCGATTCCCAATCAGGGCACGAGCCTGGGATTGCAGGACAGGTCCCCAGTCGGTGGTGTAGGAGAGGCAACCACACATTGATGTTTCTCTCTGTCCTTCTCCCTCTGTATAAAAGTAAAGGAAGAAACACAAAGAAATAGCTGAATCCTAGAGACCCAGAGGGGACCCCAGCGCAGGTCAGGTCAGGGAGTGATGACAGCGGGGAAGGAGCCGGTGTGGGACATCCTGCGACCCGCTGAGTTATGTGGGGGAACGATCCGGGCACGTGGATCTGCGGGCGCTAAGAGCCTCTGGCAGAGACCCAGGCGGATGATCCCCCATGGAGGGCACCCGCTAGAGAATGCTGACCCAGAGGAAAAGGGTCGAAAAAGCAGAACCCCAAGGCCCACGGATAGTGGGCAGTGGTGTGGAGGCAGAAAACCCACAAAAGGGGACTGATAGGAATGACCTCTGGCAGGCAGCAAACAGGAGAGAGGGAGGCAGGGAGATTGTCAAAACGATCAGCAGATGGAGGGGAGGAAACCCATGGCTGAGGAGTAGCAGAATGGCCCATCATGCACAATGCACGGACACCATTGGAAAGCCACAAGAAATACGCCCACCATGCTCAGGGCGTGGTGGGAAAACCGTGAGAAATCTCCCGTCATGCACAGCGCACAGGGCGCAGTGCGAAAGCCACAAGGAACGCCCCTGCACGCACAGCGCCTGGGGCATGACTGGAAGACCTGAAGAATGTCCCCGGGCGCGCACCTCTTGGGCACTAAGGAAAAAGCTTTGTGGGATGCCTTTCAGAAGCACAGGGATCACGGCTCTTCTAAAAAGGCTTTTCAGGTGTGTTCAATAATGGTGTTGCCACCGGCGGGTTGGGTCCGGGAACAAGCATGAAGGAGCAAAGGTAAGGAGCTGGACCAGGACCCAGCGGGCTGTTGGGAGGCGGAGCCCTGCGTTGTTGTCTAGGATCCTTCAGCTCTGCAGACCCTCCCCTGGGATGGGAGGCCCAGGGCGACGGGGAGAGCTGGTTGCAGGTGGGGCCAGGGCTGGGAGGATTCAGGGTAGTCCAAGAAAGACATCGTGCCTGGGATTTTTACATGAATCCTAATGCGATGCCACTGGGGCAGATAAACTGTTGCAGCTTTCACTAATACGTTGTCACAAAAAGACAAGAAGACAAAAAAAAAAAAAAAAAAGTAGACAACAAATTGAAAACTGAGTTCTAAAAACAGTCTAATGAGATTTCAGTAGTCACATTCTTGCTTGAACTACTTGTATACTTGGTCTACTGCAAGTTACGTTTCCTATTAAAAATGTTCGTTTTAAGTTGTACATTTATGTCAATGATCCACTTTCGAGTTAATTTTTGGGTAAGATAGGAAGTGTGGATTGGAGTTCATTCTTCCTATATGTGGATATCCATTTGTTCCCGGACCATTTGCGGGGGGGAAAAGAAAAAAGAAAAAAGAAACTATTATTTCTCCACTAAATTGGCTTTGCATCTTTGTCAAAAATCATTTATTCATGTAAGAGTGAGTCTATGTATGAACCCCCTATTTTGTTCCTTTTATCTCTTCACCTATCTTGATGCCAGTACCACATTCTCTTGGTTATTGTAGATATTTTTAATATCCACATAAATTTTAGAATCAGTTCATCTCTTTCTTTCAAGGAAGAAAGGGAGGGAACAAAACATCAGTGCGAGAGAGAAACATCAACAGGTTGCCTCTCTGCGTATGTATCCCAACTGGGGACTGAACCCACATATCAGGCATGTGTGGCCAGGCTCTGACCAGGAATCGAACCGGTGGCCTTTCGCTTTGCAGAACGATGCCCAACCCACTGAGCCACACAGGTCAGTACTCTTCATTCCCTTGTGAAGATCCATGTTTCCATTGGTGATTTTCCTTCTCCCTTAAGGACTTTCTTTAATATGTTTTACCATATGGGTACACTATGTCTTAAAATATGGGTCCATATGGGTCTGCTATTTATAAATTGTTTTAGCTTTTGTATATCAGGGGAAACCTATTTTTGTATGCAATATATTTTCACTGGGTATAATATTCTGAGTTGACAATCTTTTCTTTCAGCACTTTAATAACATTGCTCCACTATCTTCTCATTTGCATTATTTCTGAAGAGAAATGTTTTCATCTCTGTGTTCCTTCATATGTAACATATCTCTTCGTTGGCAGCGTTACAGATATTCTCTTTATTGTTGCTGTTAAACAATTTAATTATGAAGTGGTGTAGTATACTTTTCTTTGTTTTTTGTGCTCTGACTTCTTGAATCTATGGCTTTATATCATTGATAAAATTTGGAATTTTAGACCATTTTTTCTTCAAATATCTTTTTTCTGTTCTCTCTCCTTCAGAGACTAGAACTACATATATATTAGGACACTTGAAGTTTTCCCTTAGCTCAGTAATGCTTTTCACTACTTTTTATCTTTTCGCTCTGTTTTAATTTGGAACTATGTCATCAAATTCACAATCCTTTTCTTCTGGAATTCCTCATTTCACATTGATACTAACAAGAGATTTTGTTCTCATACATTATAGTTTTCATCTCCAGAAGTTTGGTTTGGGTCTTTTTTTATCTTGTGTGTTCCTGCTAACTGAATGAACATCTGGAACACAGTACAATAACAGTTTTAATGCCTTTGTCTGTTTTATTCTAACACCCATGTCTCTCCCAGGATGGTTTCAAATGGTTCATATTCTCCTTGTCATGGGTCATATTTTCTTGCTTCTTTGCATGTCTTGTAATCTTTGATTGGATGCCAGACATTGTGAACTTTACCCTGTGTGTTGTCAGGTATACTTGTATTTCTGTAAATATTCTTGAGGTTTGTTCTCGGCTGCAGTTAAACTACTTAAAATCAATTAGATTGAGGGGGTCTTTATTTCAAAAGTTAGTAAATGAAGAATCAGAGCACTGTTCAGTCTAAATCTGGAGACTCACCAATGCAAGGCCAGACCCTTCAGAGTATTCCATCCAAGGCCCCGTGAATTAACAGGTTTCCAGCTTCCTGGCAAGAGCAGACATTGCTCTTGGCCCTGCGTGTGTGTCAAGCTTTCTTCCCTCCAGTCGTTTTAGGTTGTTCTTCCTCTGGCCTTGGGTAGTTCCCCTCCACAGAAATCCTGGTTTCTTTCTCTGTGTGGCTCTCTCCTCTCTGGGAGTCTGTCTTGCAAATCTCAGCTCCCTAGGTCTCTCCAGACTCTAGTTCTCCCCTTCAACTCAGGTGTCTGATAGGAGCCACATGGGTTCTTTCTTGCTGCACTGCATTCTGGGAACTCTCTGGAGCTGGGCCAGTCATAGGGCTCACCTCATTTGTTGCCCACCTCTCAGGGATCACTGTCCTTTTTTTTTGCCTGATGGTCAGCATCTTGATTACCATTGTCTCTTTTTATAATTGAGAGAGAACGTCAATCTGTTGTTCCACTCATTGATGCACTCATTGGTTGCTTCTTGTATGAGCCCTGACCAGGAATCAAACCCACGACCTTGGTGTATCAGGACGACACTCCCAGAGCACCATTGCCTGGTTTTCATTTGTTTGGTTTGGTTCTTTTGGTTTTCAGTTTATGTTCTTTTTGAGTGTCTTACCTTCCAGCAAGATGGTAAATCTAGTCTCTGCCATTCCATCTTGGCAACAGCAGAACCCACACTATCTGTTTTTATGTATGTATATCCACATACCAACATTCTGGGAAACTATATGCACCAAAATATTACAAGGATTTATCTCTGGGTAGTAAGATTATGACAACTTTTTATTTTTGTGTGACTTCTATTATCTCTAATAAATTTATTACTGTAGAGTAAAAATAATAAACCATATTTTTCTCTAGAAATCATTCTCTCTCATGTAGATGAGGCCCACTCTGGGTGATAGGTGCCCCTGGAAGATATCACAGAGCTCCGAGCCTTCTGATGTGCCCCAGGGTGGCATGATCGTGGGCATGCTGGCCAGTCCACAAGACTGGTGACAAATTGCCAAGTGGTTTCCCAAGGTAACTACAGCATATTAAAGTTTAGCCAAAGCATCTAGGTTATACGTTGAATATCTAGAAAATGGTAACCCCACAAAATGGCTACCAACACCTTAGAGCTGTGAATTCTCAAAGGTTTTAATATGTTTATGGAAGACAGCACACACATCCAGACAACACACTGACACACTTCACAAACACACACACATGTAAACATCACCTACAATAAATGACACCAATTTGGAAGCATTTTTACTGACACTTTGGAGAAAACATACTGAGAAAATTCTAATGACCAAAGGATGATAAATGAAAATTAATTTTATAATTCTAGTTTATCTCTTAAATATATGTAAAATACCATGTGCATGCTCCTTGGTACTTTGATTTCATTTTAGTGTGCAAAGGAAATGATATACCAATATTTATAAGAGCTTTGAAAAATCCCTGAAATCTTCATTTTTCTGAACCTTTTAAAAAAAATTTTTCAGTTCATCAGTGAATTCATTCACCACAGTTAAAAAGTGAAAGTAGCCCTGGCTGGTGTGGCTCAGTGGATTGAGTGCCGACCTGTGAACCAAAAGGTCACCAGTTGGATTCCCAGTCAGAGCACAGGCCTGAGTTGCAGGCCAGGTCCTCACTAGGGGGTGCACGAGAGACAACCACACATTGATGTTTCTCTCCCTCTCTCCTCCCTTCCCCTCTGTCTAAAAATAAATAAATAATATTTTTTTAAATATTTATGAGAACGAGAAGGAAATTCAGACCACTTAACTCTACACTGGAAAATCAGCCACCTAATCTCCCACTCTCAAGATAACAAGGAACACTTTGTGTGAAGAGGTGACACACAGGATGATTTCTAGCAAAGCCATCCACACTAAGTAGGATGCTAAGTGGGCACGTAAATTGGGTCTATAGTCACTGGAAGCAACCCTGTTACACTGGTACGTACCATCTTCCTCAACTCCTGGTTGGAAACGATAATGACATTCGGCGGGTCGCCAATGGCGGTGGCAGCTCCTCCGATGTTCGTGAAGATTACTTCTGCAATCAGGACTTGTCTTGGATCAAGGTTGAGCACCTCACATAATCTGTCACAAACAGAAGAAAACAAAAGCAGGCCTGCCAGTCACGTTGTAAAAGGTCTGTGAGCAGCGTAAACATTGTTAAAGCACTTGCTTGTACAAGGGAAGTGCGTGCACATGCGTTTCCACACCCCTGCCCCCCCCCGTACCCCTCCCCCAAGAAGGACAGCGCTGGGGGATGAACAATGATGACACTACAGAGCTACAGGCAACAGCAGGTCTCAGAATCACATTTCTCTGAAAGGAAACCCATCAGTGTGAAAATGTATGCTGCCCCCTCCAGGTCTGGAGGAAACATGGTCCCCTTGTGAGCAGGCCCCCAGCGGAGCGTGGGTCCTGGTCAGGTGAATGAGCGCTGGTCACCAGCCCCTCCGGGTCAGGGGTGGGGCTGGACACACAGCCCAGGGGCTCGCCAATCCTGCCTACCGAGCTCTGGTTTCCCAAGGCAGCCACAGCGTATTGAAATTTAGCCAAAGCTGCCCTGGCTGGTGCGGCTCAGTGGATTGGACGCCGCCTGTGAACCAAAGGATCACCGGTGGGTTCAGTCAGGGCACACGCCTGCGTTGCAGGCCAGAAGGGGGCGAGCGAGAGGCAACCACGCATTGATGTCCCCCTCTCTCCCTTCCCCTCTCTTTAGAAATAAATAAATAAAATCTTTTTTTTTTTTTTTTAAAGAAAATAGCCGAAGCATCTTAAGTTATACACTGAATCTCATCTCTAGCACATGGTGGGCCCACACAATGGCCCTTCTCCGACGCCAAGGCCCTAATGTGCCCTCCCTCTCATGACCACCTGCGGACTTCCTCCTCGGAGAAGGGGCCCGCTCGCGCTCTGTAGCCGCGGGTCCCCACCTTGGCTGCACCCGGGACTCTTGGAAAGTCCCGAGGCCCAGGCCACAACAGGCCCCTCCTGGGGGACAGCCTGCTACGGCTCCCCATGCAACCTGGGAGCACGCATTTGAGACACATGGCTCCGAAGACAGTTTAGGGGACCTGTCACGTCATCCTCCGCGCCTGCGCAGCCGCGTCGCCCAATTCCACAGGGAAGCAGGGTCTCCGGGCTCAGGGCACAGCCTGCTCTGTCGGAGGGGGACTGACCCCTGGAGCTGAGCGGAAGCTGAGGCGGGAGCGGTGTCTGGGGGCGGGGACAAGGGTGAGGGTTCAACTGGGCGTCAGCCGCTGGTGGGCGGCAGCTTCCAGCTGAGGGAACTCCCGGGATCTTCTTCCGGAAGGAGAGTAGCGTGCGCTCATCAGCGACACTGGAGCAGCACGTGGACGGCTTCCTGTCCATCGGGGCTGTTCCATGTGACTCAGCCCAGGCGAAGGCAGCGGCATGGGACTAAGCTTATAAAGTCGTAAATGTAAACAGTGAATCTGAGCACACCGACATTTGAATCTTGAAAGATGTGTTTTTAGACAAATCCATGGAACCGCTGCTCTCACATAAAATGACAAGCCAGTTCCGGGAGCAGGGGAGCATAAGACACATCCTGGCCGGGCGGAAAGGTCCCTCGGGTGTCCGGGCTGCCCAGGGACGCCGGGGACACGGTGTCCCCGGACCCTGCGTGGCCAGCGTCAGGGAACGCGATCACACGCTGGGATCTGGCCCTCGTGGGGGGCACCATGGCTGTCAAACCTGTGTCACAGCAAAGTGGCCCCCGTTGGAGAGGGGGTGGGTGTGGCCTGGGGACAGGGCGGTGCCTGCCGTTAGGATCCCGCGTTCGCGTTCACTGCAGCCTCGAAACGTGTGCACTCCATCCCTCGTTTGCCCTCAGAAAAGCCCGGGCCCTGGCGGGGGCCGGACCCCTGCCCCGCGAGGCTGAGGGCAGCGCCCCTCCTCCCCAGATCTCTGCCTGCCAACGGGCCCGACACCGCGGCCAGGCCCGCAGGACCGCGGGCAAGAGGCGGCACTACAGGCCGTGTCCACAAGGGGGCGCTGCCTGCCCCCCCAACCCTCTCCCTCCTCCGCTCCACACTCCTCTTCCCTTCAGCCGCCGCTCTTCAAACGCCCAGAATCAGGCCCGAGGTCCGGGCATTCCCGGGCTGCCGTCCCCTGCCTGGCAGAAGCCTCCCAACCCTGGTCTGGGTCGGTGCCTTTGACAGTACAACCCGGACCAAGCTGCCGAAGTGACTTGTCCGAAGCCCCGCTCTATGTAGCTTGGCCCCTGCACCCCAGGGGGCCCCCGGTTCCCCTCGGCCTCCAGGGCACCCGCCCGGGTGGGTGGGGCTCCGCCGCGCCTGTGAGTGGCGCAGGGGACACGAGGACAAGAGCGCCTGGCCCAGGACAGTGTGTCCCCGCAGGGGAGCGAGGCCGGAGTCCCCGGACGCTCGCAGGAGACGCCGGGAGCCCGCCCGACGCCCTGCCTACCTTATGGTCACAGGCGTGAAGAGGAGCATGGTGGTGACGTTGTCCAGGAAGGCGGACAGGACAGCGGCCATGAGGCACAGCATGATGATCATGGCCCCCACCCTGCCCCGCGACAGTCGGTAGGCCTGGGGCGCGCGGCGTGCCGGGAGCGGGGCAGGCCAGCGGCAGCGGGTGGAAGAACAGACAGGAGTTTCCATTAGGGTCTGTGAGAACTAGGGGCTCAAGGGCACGCTGCGCGGTCGGTCAAAACATAGACCCACCGATTCCCAAATCCGCTGAGATGCGGTGGCCAGGGCCACAAGTGGACAGTCTCTAAGTCCACCTGGGCCAGCCTGCTCGCTGATGGACCCCCTTACAGTGCCCAGTGATGATTCCTTGGTGACAAGGGGACCTAAGGATACCGTTAGTACCAAAGTATTGGGAGGAAGAGGCCAGATATCTCTGTGGAAGGTGCAAGATGCTGAAAAAGCTGTCAAAAATCATAGCACATGCCCTGACCAGTGTGGCTCAGTGAGTTGGGCATCATCTTGCAAACTGAAAGGTCGCCGGTTCAATTCCCAGTCAAAGCACATGCCTGCATTGAGGGCTTGGTCCCCAGTCAGGGTGCGCATGAGAGACAACCAATTCATGTTTCTCTCTCACATCGGTATTTCTCTCCCTCTCTAGCTCCCTCCCTTCCCCTCTGCCTAAAAGGAAACAAATAAAATTTTTTTAAAAAATAAAAAATGAAATAAAATATTTGCTTTCAATAATAGTTTTAGTCACTAAATACATAGCGGTAGAAAAGAAATTGGTTAATTCTTCTATAGCTATTAAATGCCACATCAAACCTACCTTTACAGCACAATAATCAAAAAATCCGGTTTCGGAAAATATGGCTACTAAGATCATCTGCAGGAGAAAGAGAGAAAGGAGACAAGAACGCTTCAGTGACGTCAGAGCGTTAGCCATACCCTGAGCTCTGGCCTCAGTGAGAACGCGGCCCAGTCATTGCGCTCCTGTTCTTTGCTGAGTGGATTCCACTCCCGGACCCCTGCGGGGAGCCCCTCGCTAGAGGGTGTGCCCCTCACTTGTCCAGGGTATGTGCCGAAGGGGCCTTCTCATTCCCTCTGAGTTGCGCTGCAAACCTCACGTGTTACCATTCTCTGTTCTATAGCCCAGGAACCTGGGATGCAGAAATGGGGGGTGATTTATAGTCACAAAACTGGCAGCTGGGAAGGAAATGGGCCAGATTGTGACTTTCCGCACCTCAATGTCCACACGTGACAATTAAATGTTCTAAGATTTTTAAGTTGCGTTAAATTTTGTTTCCTAACAATAATTAAATGGACTCTTGTCAGCAATTTGATCAAGACGTGCAAGTAAGAACAATGGCATTGATACCGTTATTCTTCGAGTTTGTGGGAATTTCTACTCAATTGCATTTCTTTCTATGGATGACGTTGAGCTGGTGAGAATAGTCATCCTAGATAATAATAAAAGTACTGTCCCGTTTATCCTAAATCTCATCAACCAGACATTTCAGTTGAACTTTCTAGAAGATTCTCTATTCCACTTCCTCAGTCGGCAATGCCCTAACCGTAATTCTAACCTAATTTAATCCCAAATCCTGATTCAAAACTAACTCTAAACTTAACCCTAATCCAAGACCTAATCATAAACTCAACCTTAACCTTAAACCTTACCCTAACACCAAATTTAATCCATCTAGGCCTTATCCTAAACCTAACCCTAGAAACAAATCTTGACCTCAAAAGCTAACTCTACCCCCTACCCTTACCCCTACCTCAATCATAAACTCAATCCTAACTCTAACCCTAACCCTAAATCTAATCCGAAAGCTAACCGAGATGCCAAACCTAATTTTAACACTAGCCCTGGCAGGTGTGGCTCAGTTGGTTGGAGCATCGTCCCATAACCAAAAGGTTGCAGGTTAGATTCCCAGTCAGGGCACATGCCTGAGTTGTGGGTTTGGTCCCTGGTCAGGGCACATACAGGAGGAGGCAAGCAATTGATCTCTCTCTCTCTCTCTCTCTCTCTCTCTCTCGCCTTCCCTCCCTCCCTCCCCCTCTCTCTAAAATCAATAAGCATGCCCTTGGGTTAGGATAAAAAATCCCACTTATTCTCATTAGATCGGTTTATGACTCCTCACGCGCCCACCTGTGTACCTCCAAGTTCCTTTCCTAACAGTCGACTTCGTGACGCTCCACAGAGCGTGCCACAGAGGGTGGTCCCTTGACAGTGTCTGATAAATCAGCAAACACACACACAAGGGGGATTTCTTCCTATGGCCCTACAAGTACAGACACTTTTCCAACCGCCAGAACTTACATGGTGTATTAACATGGAATATTCCATCTTTCTATTTTAAGGGCAGGAACTCGAAGAATTTGCCCAATTTGCTAAATGGCAATATTATTTCACTCTCAGACTTGCTAGGACACCGAACATTCAGTTCCTCCTCAGAAGAAATTAGCTAGACCTGCGCAAACACTTCTCAGTTATTGGTGCCTTTAGTAACATGAAGAATTAGCAGCAGCAGCGGCAACAGCAAGAAAAGCAAAGGTCCCAGGTCACAGCCGCCTTGAAGCCGCGCCCGCTGGGAGGAGTGTGATTACCATGCCAAACAGCAGGGCCAGGGTCTCGAAATCAATCCACTCCACCACGTGGGTCAGGCTGGGCCTCTGCAATCAAAGCAGAAAGTCGCCAGTTAATCCCCGCAACACGCTCTTGGTGGCAATGTGTAAAAACGGGCTGCCCATTACGACGAGCCCAGTCCTGAGCCAGCCGGAAGCCACACCGTTCGCTTGCCTCTGAGGTCGGATTGTATCACCTCAGAAAAACACTCTCAACCCAAAGCATCCCAATGTCAAGCCTGTGCATTTAGTAATAAGAAAAGAAAACTTCTTTTCTTATTTATTGATTTGAGAGAGAGAAAGAGACATCGATTTGTTATTCCACTTACTGATGCATTCATTGGTCGATTCTTGTATGTGCCGGGACTTGGGATCGAACCCCCAACCTTGGCATATCAGGATGATGCTCTAACCAGTGGAGCTACCGGGCCAGGACCAGAAGGACAAACTTTTTAAGTCCCGCCCCTGGCAGCTCGGCAAAGAACTGTACTGTAGCGTCATTGGAGGATCAGCCCTTGAGGGGAGGGGAGTCCCAGAGCCCTTCCTGGGGGGGCGTGGCCTGAGGCCAAGCTGACGACTGAAAGGTACGCTTGTCCTACGCTCTGTGTCTGCCCGTCTCATGTCCTCCTCAAAGGACCCTGGAGCATGGGGAAGGCCAAGGTCACAATGACGCAAGAGCACAGAGCGTGAGGTGAGGGGCCTCTCCAGACTCTGGCAGTTGGAAAAGGACCCCACAGTGTCCGGGAGAGCTGCCCCCAGCACGTTGCCTTCCATGGGCCACATTAATGATTTTTAAAACAAAGTAACTGCCCTGGCCGCGTTGCGAAGTGGGTAGCAGCGTCATCTGCGCACCAAAAGGTTGCAGGTTCGATCCCGGGTCAGGGCGTGTGTGGGAAGCAACCGATCCATGTTTCTCTCTCACATCGGTGTTTCTCTCTTTCCTCTCTCTCAAAAATCAATAAACATATCCTCAGAGGAGATTAAAAACAAAAAAATAAAATAACTACTACTACGCTCCTCCTTGACAATTAATAAACATAACAGTGGTTTATCTATGAGTTTTAGGATTCTGGGGCCTTCTACCTTTGTTTATACCAACTCTAGCCAAGAAAAGAGGGGCAACCATAACTACTAGCCCTACGTAGTTTTTTAAACCAGTTACTATTCTTTGGTTTACTGAATGGCCTTTAGTAGCAGTTTTCACAACAAGCCTTCGGAGTCTACAGTGTGTTTTTAAAATCCAGTTCTGTGCGGGGCGGGGGACCGAGGAGGGCATGGCCCTGCTCGCTGCCTACGTTGCCCCTTGAACAGCCTCATCCGGCCCCGTCCCCGCGTCCCCGCCCCCCGCCCCCAAGCCTGACCTGGTGCAAATGCGTGACCACGTGACCTGTCCTCGGCTAAGACGGAGATAACGTTGCTGGTGTGCGTGCGTGCGTGTGTGTTAAAGGCAAACGACAAATTCTCATCAGTGCCATAGACCCTGCTACTTCCTGCAGGGACATGTGGAAATAGTGTATAAAAAAGTGACACACACCAGCCAATGCCCAGTTCCGGAACTCTCTCTGACCTGACATTCTGTCCAGGGGCGAGGCCCCCACGGGAAAGGTCATTACTTACGTCGCCGGTCACGGCCAGCACCGCCAAGGCCGCCAGGGAGCCCAGCATGGCTGCCAGCGTCCTGTGAACGATCTGGAAAGAAACACAGAAAATTACTGTATTCCCGTCCCCAGGGGATTTAAAATACAAAAGCCCGTAGGTGTGTAAGTATCGGTCAGTGCGGCCAGGCGAAGCCATATCTCTGAAAAGAATGAGTAAATGGTGGGTCTTGTTCTTTCAGAATCTGGACACCCCAAAATGCACCTACCCACCACCATCCTTCTGAAAAAGACGTCCTTTTATTTCCTGAGTAATTAGATGACCCTCAGGTAGAAGCAAGAGGCTCGGTAAAGTATGTTCGGCAAGGAAGCCTGTAGTGAATTGTCATTAATTATTTACCATACAATCCCTAGGCAAAGGGACCTAGTTCTAAAACATAAATCACTTCTGCCCAATTGCTGAGCCTGTTGTTAAAGCAAAGGTACACAGCCGAACACCTGACGCTTCACGTTATCAGTGAATCACAGAAGTATCTTTTCCTTTTAATTATGATCTCAAATGGACGTGTAATTTTTAAGACGAAGTTTGAGGAAAGTCAAGGATATGGAGAAATGGAAACCGTCGAACGTTTGCTGCTGGGAATGTAAAATGGTGTAGCTATTGCGGAAGAGACGGGCAGTCTCTTAAAACGTTAAATAAATTTACCAGAGGGCCCAGCGATTTCACTTCTAGAAATCTACTCAAGAGAAATAAAAACATGGGTCCTGTTACATTCTTTTTTTATTCTCAGCCAAGGACATGCTTGTTGATTTTAGAGAGAGGAGACGGGAGGGGGAGAGAAAGAGAACCATCCATCGGCTGTCTCCCACACGCGCCCCAAGACCAAATCCACAACCCAAGCATGTGCCCTGACCGGGAATCGAACCACGACCTTTCAGTTTACTGAACGGCGCTCCAGCCAACTGAGCCACACCGGCAGGGCATGTCCTGTTAAATAAATTAAACAAGGCCATGAGACTGAGGTCACTCCAATGCCTTGGCAGCACACGTAAGTAGACCAAAATCTAAGCCTTTAATGGCTCAAGGTTAAGACATCAAACCCTAGGGGGTGGCAGCTGCGTGGAGGTGGGCACAGGGGAGGGCATGAGGGACATCTATAACGGTGTCAACAATGAAAAAAAGAGGGAGACAGAAACCGAACCCTAAGGACAAACAATCACGAACAGCCAACCGGGTTTTCCCAGGAGCAGGTGCACGCTACGCTGCAGCCAATCAAATCACATCCGCGCTCTGCTTCCGCCTCTTCTCTAGGCGCCCCTCACCCCTTCCGGTTTGGCGCTGTCAGAGTCAAATCAATTTCTGTGCAAGTAAACTCTTAAAGCTGTAATATGCCTCAGTGTGTCTATTTTTTTAAAGATTTTATTTATTTCTAGAGAGAGGGGAAGGGAGGGAGAAAGGAAGAGAAACATCAATGTGCGGTTGCCTCTTGCAAGACCCCCACTGGGGACCTGGCCCGCAACCCAGGCCTGTGCCCACACTAGGAATCGAACCGGCGACCCTTTGGTTCACAGACTGGCGCTCAATCCTCTGAGCCACACCAGCCGGGGCTCAATGCATCTTTGCACAGTCCTTATAAAGCATGGATGGTCATGGCAACATTATTCAAAAGAGGCAAAAACTGGAATCAGTGCGAAAATCCGTCCAGATGAGCAAAACACAGTGCGTGGCACTACAAAGGAACTAGAGATAATGTGACAGGAAATGGATGGGCCCAAAATGCGAAGAAGCAGGACCCAGAAGGCTGTGCTTCCATGTATAAGAACCATCCAGAAAAAGTAAATTTAGAAAGAAGGAGGCTGAGGTCGCCTAAGGCTGGCAGTAGCGGATTGAATGGGTCCTAGGGATCTCTGTGGGGCGATGGAATCTTCTCAAACTGCACGTGGTCATGGCTGCCGCTGTAGCCTGGGTGATTTGGGTGCTGAAATCCAAACTCCTACGGTGGCAGAGTGAGGAGGTGAAGCCTTTGGCGGGGGATGAGGGTGGAGCCCTCATAAACGGGACTGATGCGTTTAAAAACGGGGCTCTCTCACTCCAGCACCCCTTCCTCATCGTGAGGGCGCAATGATGAGAAAGAAGCTTGTGACCAGGAGGAGGGCGCTCACCGACCACAGCCGCACCTCAACCTGGGACTCCCCAGCCCCCACGACAGCGAGAAATCCAGTTCCGTTGTTTATGAGCCACCTAGTCCGTGGTATTTCGCGACATCCCCTCAAAAGGACTGAGGCAGAAAACTAGCACCTGGGAGTGAAGGCGCCGATGGAAAAAACGTCTGCAGTGTGGAGCGACTTTAGGATTGGTCACGGGTTGGCACTGGGAGAGTTTGGCGCAGGAGGGGTAGAGTGGAGAAATAAATGGAGTCACTGCCATTGAGCCGCTAAGTTACCAGAGTCAGGTAGGTTGAGGCACAAGAAAGAGTTCGATTCTTGTCTCCCTGGGAACTTAAGTTTTTGAACTTGGAAGTCCTGCATCAATGCCTGGATATGCGTCGAACCTCCAGGTGACCCTCAGGTTAACCCCCTGAAGGACTGAGGACTAAGGTTCCCTGTCCAATCACCTGACACCCATTACCCAGACCGGCGGTCATGTGCAGCGGTCCCCTACCTTTGTTGGCACCAGGGACCGGTTTGGTGGAAGACAATTTTTCCACGGACCAGGGTGTGGGGGTTGGTTTCAGGATGATTCAAGTGCATTACACTCAAGCTCGCCTCCTGCTGGGAGGCCGGGGTCCTAACAGGCCCGGACCAGCATCAGTGCGTGGCCTGGAGGTTGGGGACCCCTGATCTAGAGGGTCCCCATCTCAGGCCACCCAGAGGCTGAGAATGCAGGGCTGAGGCCTCTCAAGATTCACTTTTTAATATAAGAACTCTTAGCTTCTCTTTCTCCTTTAGAACACTCTGGGCACTGCCTAGTTGTGTTTCTGTTTACAATTCCTAAGACCCTTGGATAAATCTTTATTTATTTTTAGAGAGAGGGGAGGGAGGGAGAAAGAGAGGGAGAGAAACGTCAACTGCACGCCCCTAGTTGGGGACCTGGCCCACAACCCAGGCATGTGCCCTGACTGGGTAATCCAACCGGTAACCCTTTGGTTCGCAGACTGGCACTCAATCCACTGAGCCACACCAGCCAGGGCTCTTTTTTAAATTAATTTTTGTAATCCTCACCCAAGGACATGCTTACTGATTTTAGAGAGAAAGGGAGGGAGAGAGAGAGAAGCATCAATCGGTTGCCTTCCGTACACACCCTGACTGGGGATTGAACCCGCAACCTTTTGGTGCACGGAAGGATGCTCGAACGAACTGAACCATCCAGCCAGAGCTATAATTATTTCTATCCAAAGCCCCAGGCTCTTTTTGAGATGGTTCAAGGTGTATGCTAGGAAAAGCCTGTGTTGCTGTGAATGGTTCATTAAAAGCAATTCTGGCCCTGGCTGGTGTGGCTCAGTGGATTGAGCGCCAGCCTGTGAATCAAAGGCATGCCAGTTCGATTCCCAGTCAGGGCATATGCCTGGGTTGCAGGCCAGGTCCCCAGCAAGGGGTGCATGAGAGGCAACCACACATTGATGTTCCTCTCCCTCTCTTTCTCCCTCCCTTCCCTTCTCTAAAAATAAATACATAAAATCTTTTTTTTTTTAAGCTATTCACGTGAGGGCTCAGAAGAAAGAGAGCTGTAGAGAGAGCCTCAGTCTTCCTTTAAAAAAACCTAAGTGCTTGTGAACAGAACGTTGGTGGCAATATTGATGAGGGCTCCATCAGAAATTAGGGAGGTGTGGACGGGCAGGAAAAAGGTGACAGTTGTTATAAAGTAGCAAAGAGCCCAGCGGAATTGTGTCCACCTCTAGTGCTGTGTGGGAGGAAGAACTTGTAACATTGAGGAAATGTCTAAGCAAAGGGCCGCAGGGGCTGCTGGATTCTTCTTGAATGTTTATGGTAAAATCGGGGGAGAGAGAAGTGACTGAGAGAGAGGGAATGGTTCATCCCAAAGGAACCAGAACTTAAAATTTTGGGAGACTCTCAGCCTGCCCGTATTGAAGGACAGGAGGAAGCTTATTTAAGAGAAGACGCACAGGGCAAGAGGTTACAGACCTCGGTACCTCCGTACCACGGAGTCCTACCCGGCGGTGAAAATGCACAAACTACTGCCTCACGCGACAGCCTGGTGACTCTTCAGAGACTGACCCTGAGTGGGAGGAAAGACAATTCCAGAATATCACCCACGGCATGATTCCATTTGGATTTGAAATGACCAACTTATAGAACAGCTGGGACAGATCAGTGCCTGTCCGTGGGGAGCGGGGTTGCTGGGAAGGACGCGGAGGGGTGTGGTTATATAGCCCGACGGGAGGGGTCCGGAGGGGCTGGGGAGGCTCCGCCCAGCGCCCAGGGCCTGCAGTTTCGCCACTGGGGGAAGCCGCATAAAATCTGCACGGGTCTCTGGAGGCCTGACAGCTCTGTGAGCATGCGCGGTATCTCCAAACAAAAACTTTAATTTAAGAAAAAGCATTGCTGTTCTCCTCCCAGTCATCAGCAAACTTAAATCAGGACAGAACTCAGGAGCCTGTTCAGCATATCACTCACAGTAAAATAATAAATACGTAAATAAATAAATAAAAAGAAACCAATTTTTTAAAAAAGAATATATGGGCGCTGGCCAGGCGGCCCGGTTGGTTGGAGCATCGTCCTGGTCAGGGCACATGCCCAGGTTGCGGGTTCGGTCCCCAGTCCGGGGGTTTATGGGAGGCAATCGATCAATGTTTCTCACGTCGATGTCTGTCTGTCTCTGTCTCTGTCTCTCTCCTTTCCTCTCCCTCTAAAATCAATAAACATCTCCTCGGGTGAAGATTAAAAATAATAATAAAATAAAAATTAAAAAAAATAAAAAGAATATGTGGGAGTCGAGTCTGACGACCTCAGGGACCCTTCTCATTCCAAAATCCCACGGCGGTGGCTTCCTAAGTTTGGAAAGTTGAGGGTAATTCCATGTAAATAGAAGGAGCTTTCAGCACGAGATCCTTATTTTCACTGAAAAACGGCGGC